GTTTCTAGATTTGGATTCTTATTGTTTTAATGGACAACTTTGTAACACAGTGGCCCTTTGTTTTATTTATGTTATTTCATTACTTTATGGTTTTATCTGTTTGAATTTGGTTTTGATGTGTTTTTATCTTTTTTGGCTCGAGCGTACATCGCTTTGGGCCACCTTGGCTGGTGGTAAAAAGGTGTTCTACAAATAACTAAACGATGATGATGATGATGATGATGGGCCATCCTGGATGAGCTGCACTGGCTGAGCCACTTGTGTGGGTTGTAAACTCCATCTCATGCTAACACTAGAGTGAAAGCACCTACAATCAAAAGTGACCAAAACAGCCAGAAAACAGAGGAACCGAGAAGTGGTCTGTGGTCAGCACCTGCAGAACCACTCCTTTATTGAGGATCTCTTGCTAATTGCCTATAGTTTCCACCAGTTGTCTACATTTGCACAGCAGCATGTGGAACAGAATCAGTGTTGCCTCCAGCTTGGTTTATGCTTGACGCATTCACTTTCTGCTTGGTGATGCGGCTCACGGACGGAACGCGCTTCACAACTCGCAGCGTTTATGGTTCATGCGGCTCGTTTCTGCGGTGAGCCAATATTCTCCCAAACTGTAGGGGGCAGCATGGAGCTCTACGGCATGCATCCAACACTACACCATAGTAGAAGTAGAAATTACTGTTTACAACATGGCATTCCAGCATTTTTAACAGCGTCCTCGTCTTTTCCGACAGTGCGAGCTATTTCTCTCCAAGAATTATTAACAACATGTTGATCACGGTGATCTCTGAGAGCTGAATCATACAAATGTCTGTATTTACGAACCTCTGCCATACTAGTTCTTGCCGGTCCGCCATGTTTTTCCACGTCCAACCGTCCGCGTGGTTAGAAATTTTCCTAGGTGTGCGTTGCGGAAATTTTGGGCCGTGCGGAGACGCGGTGGAGGGGTGTGGTTGTTAAAATGACGCAATTTTGCCATGCGGACCTTGCGGACGCGTCAAGCATAAACCAACCTTACGTGGAGAGTTCCCAGAAGGGTGACTGACTTGAGTTACATTGTGTTGTTAAAGTGTTAGCGTATTCCAACAACAGACTAAAAGTACATTGCTATATTTACTCCGTTATTTTATTATTTTCACAGATAAAATAACTGAATTACCATAAACAAACATGGCAGGATTGTTTATGATGTTATTGATCACTAAGTAAAAGCAAGTTTTACTGACAACAGCATTTTAATAGGGATGTGTGTGTTATTGGTGTAACATTAATATCGGCTGATATCAGCATTACAATTTAATGTTGGTATCGGTTTTAGGCTGTCAGTGACTCAACTTTTACATGCCATTCATGTATTATACATCAAACTAACTAATCAGCTAACTCTCCTCCCTCTTAAAATGTCAAAATAAGATAGATATCAGTTAAAGGTTTTAGGAGTTTTCAGTTTATTTGGCACAACCTGTGAATCACAAATTTGCCCTGCGTAGAGAACGTCCACTGTCCACACAGCGCGTAGCTATGTGTAGCTAACAGCAAACAAACAACTTTAACAAAACCAGGAATCTTCACCCAAGGCTTGTTTTTCTTATCTGAAGATCTTTATAAATGTTTTACCACCATAGCTGCAATATACAGAAACAGAAAAAAATGCATTACCACCTAATAAACAAATCTTAGGGTCACGCTGAGGGGGAATGAAATTCAGCTGCTGTTGGAGACTAAATAAATATGGCGCTTTTCTTGTTAACTTAAAATGTAGTAGTTGTCATTTTGTAGAGAATTGAATTTTTTATGATAGGGAGACACATCATGTATCAGATTAAGAGAAAATAATATCGAAAATCGGTAAAAAGCCTAAATCAAGCACCTCTAGAATTAAATTGTTTTGTAAATTGTAAAACTTCTAAAATCAAAGCAGGATTAATAATCTAGCTGTGTGGGTTTTAAAGTTACTGTTAAGGATCATAAATTCGGTTCATTTACATTCAGTTGAACAAACAAAAGGTTTAGAATGAACAGTTTTTCTGGAGCAGTTTTTGCTGTATTGCTTGAAATGCTGGGCTGATTTCTGCAGGTCACAAGATGAGGTATAAACACACACATACACATGGTTGTACAATCAGTGTCTTTCTGACAGTGTTACAGATCTTTTAAGTGTGTGGTTTCAGTCCCGACTGCATCCCGACTCTTCCAGAGCAGGGTCGGGGGAATTTGATTGACTTGTGCCTTGACTTACTTTGGCTTCCAGGAAGTCTCCCCCATCAATACTCATCAACATCACTCGCGAGCCCAGCATATCTGTCTGTGTGTGAGGGCATGCTTGCATGTGCTCTCTCTCAACCAGTTCAGCACAGTGTGTCTTTCTGTTAGATCACATAGTTCAGCTTTTCCCCCGCATGCCTGCTGCTTGGCCTATTTCCATGGTAACCAGCCGAAGATGTGGGGACACACACACACACACACACACACACACACACACACACACACACACACACACACACACACACACACACACACACACACACACACACACACACAGTCCACATAACAGCAGTTGTGCGAGAGCTTGCCACAGTGATCTTGGTTGTGTGTGTGTGTGTGTGTGTGTGTGTGTGTGTGTGGCTGTAGGGTGCAATGAGAGAGGATGTGCGATCACACAATCTGCACAAGCTCAGTGGGAGACACACTCTCTTAAGGCCACACACACACACACACACACACACACACACACACACACACACACTGCACACACTGCACGCTGAGACAGAAGCTCAGGAAGCTGTGCTGTAGAGGGAAAAATGGCACACGGGCATGCCAACCAAATCCCTCAATAAATCCTCTGGAAATTTGGGATTTTTTAAATAGATAGATAGATAGATAGATAGATAGATAGATAGATAGATAGATAGATAGATAGATAGATAGATAGATAGATAGATAGATAGATAGATAGATAGATAGATAGATAGATAGATAGATAGATAGATAGATAGATAGATAGATAGATAGATAGATAGATAGATGGATGGATGGATGGATGGATGGATGGATGGATGGATGGATGGATGGATGGATGGATGGATGGATGGATGGATGGATGGATGGATGGATGGATGGATGGATGGATGGATGGATGGATGGATGGATGGATGGATGGATGGATGGATGGATGGATGGATGGATGGATGGATGGATGGATGGATGGATGGATGGATGATAGATAGATAGATAGATAGATAGATAGATAGATAGATAGATAGATAGATAGATAGATAGATAGATAGATAGATGATAGATAGATAGATAGATAGATAGATAGATAGATAGATAGATAGATAGATAGATGATAGATAGATACTGAATGCTCAACTGCTCACTGCAGCATCCCTATGCCCTTTGGCCTTTCGCCAAGGGGATGCTGTGGTGTTAATGCAGCCCAGCTATCAGGCAAAAGGAGCTTTGCCAACAGTGGGGAAGCTGTAGGGAAAGAATGAAAGGAAGGACAGGTGGGTGGAGGTGGCACTGCGGATCCATTACCTACTGCCCTGGGATGTGATGCAAATTTATGTACACAGCCATGCACACTCATAGCGTGACTAAACACGGGCAGAGCGTCTTTTATAATAATCACATGTTCAGAAGATACGTATGCTCAAACTCTCCTCAAAGGGTGAATGAGTACCAGTTATAAAATGACATAAAACATCCAAGCTAAAATATTAAGAATTTATTTATTTCAAACTGGCTCCTCATGCTGACAACGATCAACATAACTTGCTCACCTACGGATGTCGGTCAACAGGGCAGTCCGTCGTACACTAATGAAGAAGATGCAAATGCATCCCTTTTCTAAATAAAGAACTTAAAGAGCGAGGAACACCTAATTCAACATTTTTTTTGGCTGATAAACTGTATAGATGAGTGTCTACAATAATAGTGCTGTAGACAAGCATAGTTGTTATTTTGGCAGTTTAGTGTAACTTGCTTAAAATGTAATATTTCAGCCAAAAACCATAATTATATCTCCATCTTCAGGTAAAACTCTGTTCCACGTTGATTTGGAATCAGCCACAGCTGATGGCTAAGATGTACAAGTTGACGTTGGCACGGTACCAATAGCTGGCTCGGCCTCACCTGCTGATACAAACATTACAGTTCAGAGCCGCTCGCCTCTTTAAGAAGCATCCCCCGTTCTTGGTCGTGGTGGACGGGGAATCCTTTAGCATGCTGCAGATTCTGTGTTAGCTTGTTCTTCTGAGCAGTCAGTCTGCTGTGTGTGTGTGCTCAGGTGCACATGCGAGTGTGTGTGCACGTGTAAATAACTCGTTTGCCCAACTGAGAAACTCCAAGAGCATGCAAGTGAGTTTGGGGGGGGGGGGGTGTGTGTGCTGTCAATCACTGCCTTGATGCCACTCTTTCGGTCCGCCAGGTGATGCCTCTTTTATGCACATTTTTCCAACAGGAAGAGTCTCTCACCCTTTAACTACCTCTATCTGCTCTTGTCTCAAAGAAGAGCCCAAATCTAAATAGTCCAAAGTTGATACCAACGCCCTTTCCAATGAGCCTTCGCCATCTTTATTGTTCCGCTCCGTTGTCGCACCACCCTGCCCACCTAATCGAACCTGGGATGTAACAGCTAATGAACTGGCAAAGAGATGCAAACTTAAAAAAGACTGACATGGATTCTCACAAATCTTCAAGCGGCACATCTGCCTGATTGACTTTTTTTTTGTTTTGACAATTCCAACTGAAGCTGAGATGCATTTTAAGCTGTCAACACCTAACTGATGGACTGACAAATAGCCAGTTGCAACTGGATTTCTTCTGTAAGAAGGGAATTTACCTAACTTCAAAACCAATCTGAAGGGAAATAATGGACAATAGTTCCAAACCAGGACACAGGATTGTCACAGATGTGTAGTGTGTGTGTGGACTGTAGTTTTCAGAACTCCTTATGGTGTCAGACCTAACAGGTTGTCTTTTTCTTTTGTGTTTTATAGATTAGTGAAACCGAAGAAGAAAAGCACCAAAGTCCCCACATGGGAGTAGAGACGTTGTCCAAACCACTGATTTCTGACAGATTGTGCCAAAGGATGCTTTGGAACCGCTCTTATGTTTTCAGACACAGACTTCTAAATCTTTACAGCTAGAAAGAGGAGGACAAAAAGCCAAACATTGCCTTGTACAAGTGGACCAGTCACAATCCGAGAGTTAGAGGGTTGCATGGGGGCCAAATTCCTGCACAAGACCAACTGCATCACCTCAGTCTACAGCCACCACCTCCCTTCTCCTGCTGTGATATTTTACTGATCCTCCTTTCATTCATTCTACCCCTTTCTTGCTCATGGGAGTGACATAGAGGCTGAAGTTTGGTCTTCTGCCCCACCCCTTTTCTGCATCGCTGTGGAAACAGGGATGTCCAGGTAGAGATGTCGTGGAAGAGGAACTACTTTGCATCAGGTGGTGGAGCGGCTGGCGGGTTGCAAGGTCTGGTGACCCCGAGAACCATGACCTCCATTGCACCCAGCAAAGGCCTGAGCAATGAGCCGGGACAAAATAGCTGCTTCCTCAACAGCGCTCTGCAGGTAAGTCAGACAAACTCATGTGAATTCAGGGCATTCAGAAACTCCTGATAGTGTCTTTTGAGATGTGTTTTTGTGAAGAGATGATTTTTACAACCTCAGTTTGGAGAAACAGAGATTAGTTTTGACCAGAAACTGTTGTGATTCTATTTATTTTAATCTAAAATAAAGAATTCTTTATCCTTTGTAGAGGCATACTGTGAAAGCACTAATTCCAAAACAAAATCCTTTTTATCATAATGTATATGTCATATATATGACATGCATATGTCATATATATGACATATGCATGTCATATCGTATCATATCATATCATATCATATATCATATCATATCATATATCATATCATATCATATATCATGTCATATCATATATCATATCATATCATATCATATATCATATCATATCATATATCATATATCATATCATATCATATATCATATATCATATCATATCATATATCATATCATACCATATCATATCATATATCATATCATATCATATCATATCATATATCATATCATATCATATCGTATCATATCATATCATATATCATATCATATCGTAACGTATCGTATCATACATCATATCATATCATATCATATATCATATCATATCATATATCATATCATATCATATATCATATATCATATCATATCATATATCATATCATACCATATCATATCATATATCATATCATATATCATATCATATCGTAACGTATCGTATCATATATCATATCATATCATATATCATATATCATATCATATCATGTCATATCATATATCATATCATATCATATCATATATCATATATCATATCATATCATATCATATCATATCATATCATATCATATCATATTGTATCGTATCATATCGTATCGTATCATATCATATCATATCATATCATATCATATCATATCATATCATATCATATCATATCATATCATATCATATATGATATCATATCGTATCATATCATATCATATCATATCATATCATATCATATCATATCATATATCATATCATATCATATCATATCATATCATATCATATATCATATCATATCATATCATATCATATCATATCATATCATATATCATATCATATCACATCAGAACCAACAGAACTGAAATCCAGAGTTTTCTCCTTTTCAGGAATTATGTATGTATTTTTTTTTTTTTTTTTTTAAGAAATGAGTCAAAGTGATCATTATCTTACCAGCTCACTGGCCTAATGGTATAAGTGTCTGCCCTGTGACTGGGAGATTGGGGTTCAAAACCCAGTTGGGTCATACCAGACTTTAAAACTGCCAGTGTTAGACAGCTTCGCCTCTGTCGATGTGCCCCAGGGCAGCTGTGGCTACACCGTAGCTCATCCTCACTGGTGTGTGAATGTGTGTCTGAATGGATGAATGACTGACTGTGTTGTGAAGCATCTTGGGGGGCTGTAGCACCCTAAAAAGGTGCTAAACAAATACAGGCCATTTACACAATATTATATCTTCATGTACTGTATAATATCATATTGCAATGTGTAATACCAAACCAAACAATATCACATCTTGCTTTATTACATTGTACTACACCTTATTCTGTTACTTTGTATCAGAAAAACATTGAGCAGAACGAAATCTTGGCATGAAGATGACTTGTTGATGCCACAATCCCATTTCTGTTTCAAACCTTATTGTTCTGTGTGGCAGCAGAGCTGATTTTAGTGTATCATATTGGACAAGGATTTTTAAATCACAGGGAACACACAGATATAATTAGGAGTGGGAACTGATACGTTTTTATCAATATCAATGTAGCCATTGTATATTCCGTCCAATTCCTTATCAATTCCCGAGTAGTTCAAAAGGTGACAAAGACATGAATTGCAGATGCTATCCTGCATTATAACTGTCTGTTTATTAATGATGATAAATAATCAATTGTACCTGGTATTATTTAGAAAGGTCTTTCCAAACGTTCTCTGTTTGGCTCCCTGTGAAGGGAGACGCATTATCTTGTAGTGTGTAGTGTTGCTGTAGCTTTTGCAAAATGGGCAAATTCTCATCACAGGTCTGACTTTAGTTGCTGGAATCTGCTAGTGTGTGTGTGTGTGTGTGTGTGTGTGTGTGTGTGTGTGTGTGTGTGTGTGTGTGTGTGTGTATGTGTGTGTGTGTGTGTGTGCGTGTGTGAGTGTGTGTAAATATATATATATGTGTGTGTGTGTGTGCGTGTGTGAGTGTGTGTGTACATATCAGGCAAATGATGCTAACATGATAGGCAGAGTTAGTTGATTAGTCACCTGCAGTATTACAGTAACAGGAGAGGATGTGCAAACATCACCGCTGCTGCTGCGTTGAAATTCACTAGTCCAGAGTGGGTCAAAAACACTACATTTGTAAGTTATCGCGTATTGTGTACGCAAACGCTTTTGCATGTCTCTAGAATTTCCTCTCTTTGATGAAATATCTACTACACACACACACACACACACACACACACACACACACACACACACACACACACACACACACACACACACACACACACACACACACACACACACACGCGCACAAATGCCTCCTGACTATTGGCTTGAAGAGGAGAGAGAGAGAGTGAGAGAGGAAGAAGTGAGAGAGGTTGGAGTAAGCTGAAGAGAGACTGGGCATAGGCTTAAGGAGAGTTGATGAGAACAGAAGAATAGATGCAAAGAGTAACGGTTCCAGACTGCAGAGAAGAGAAGAGAAGAAAAAGGAATGAGGAGTATACAGTATGAAAGAACCGAGGAGAGGACCACAGGGCATACTGCTGCTAGACAGAGAGGGATTAAATACTCCAGTAAGGTAAGATGAAAAAAGGAGTGCTTCTGAAAACAGGAAGAGGGATAGAGAGATAGACGAGGGGAGAAAAGGGAGTTAAATGAAAAGACAAAGCAGAGGACATTTAGTTTATTTGCGAGATAAAGAAAGTGCCTCCATGTAGACACGCAACACAGCTCAAGCAGTGAGGGAATTGGGCCACTTCAAGGACACACACACACACACACACACACACACACATACACACACACACACACACACACACACACACACACACACACACACACACACACACACACACACACACACATACACACACACACACACACACACACACACATTTTGGATGGTATTTTTATCAGGACACAGATGAGCGTGGGGAAGCTGCTTTTTATATGACTTTTCAGTGCCTGTGTCCACACGCTTTTAACTTGTGTGTTTAAATGTGTTTTATCGCAATACGTTTTTAAAGTTTAAACTCCATTTAAATGATGTGCTCACCAGAGTTTTGCATTTGCCCTATGCTAGCCTGCATAAAATGGTAGATGGTGACATTTTAAGCTTTTTCTAAGAAAAACACACAATTAAAAAGTATTCAAATACGAGTTTTGAACCAAAAAAATAATGAACAACTCATTGATTTTACTTAGATTTGAGCATTTCATGTACAAAGGTTGAAAATATGCTTGCTGAATCTAAGCTCTATCACTAGTGTATTGATTGTATGTGAAAGTGCCTCTCTGGCCCCTCAGGCCCACTGGGCCAGGAAGTTAACCCAGTTCTGCTGCAGTGGAGCAGCAGCATCAGCAGCATCAGCAGCAGAAATGTTTACTCCATGAGAAACTGTGTAACGAGAGAGAGGAATGGTACTATGAGGTAGAACGTACATACATGCTCAGCAACTTTTTTTCAAACACCGGTAAAAATAAAATAGCCGGAGCAGATATAGAGCAGGTTGGCTTCGATGAAGCTGAAACACTTGGCTTCACACATCAGGCTGGGACGTGTGTGTGTGTGTGTGTGTGTGTGTGTGTGTGTGTGTGTGTGTGTGTGTGTGTGTTCATGCAGTGGTATAAAGGAGTAGTACCCCATTCATTTCCGTATTCCTAATGAAATGTGACATCAGAAACGGTCGTTTTCTACGTGGAGTTGTGTTTTTAATTACTGACTAATTTATCCAGGTTTTTCAACAATGTTTAAACTCTCGAGTTTAATTACATTGAAGTGAGGAATATGGTTCTTGAATGTGTGTGGGATTCCATGGTGGAATTGTTAGCACTGTTGTTTAGCAGTTAGAAGGTTGGAGGTTCAAATCCTGGCTGCAACCTTAATGCGTAGAGATAGCATGTTCTCGCCATTCTAACCCCTTCCACAGACCCATGTCGGGCTGAATGGTCACTCAAATTGTCCTCAGGTGTGAGTGAGTGTCTGACTGGTTGTCTGACTCTGTGTGTCCTTGTGATGGACTGGAGACATGTCCAGGGTGTCCTCTGCCTCTCACCTGTTGGAGCTAGACACCAGCTTCCTACAACCCTAGTGACGGTTAAACTGCTCAGAGCAGGTTCTGAGCAGAAAAACGGATTGCCTCAAAGTACTGTATGCAACACTGCAGTCTCCTGCAATGATGAAAAACACAGCGCTAAGTTAGTTTTCAGTGTGACTAAGCAAAAAGGTTTAGGGTTGATTATTTGGTTTGCATCAGGACTAGTTCTAAGGGGATTACATTTATTCTCGCTGAAATTAGGGAAGAGGCAGAATTTAAACTGCAGAGATTACTACTGGATTAATACAGTGAGTTTGCTTTGATAATTAAAAATCACCAGTTAATCCAACGCGCAGACTCAAAGATGCAGCACCTACTTCTGCTTTCAGTCTACCAAGATACGACTGATAGAAACATTTTCTTTTATTAAATTGTTCCATATTCAACCTTTAAAGGTAACGTAAAGGAAACAAAGTAGTGTTTACATATCTGCGGTGAAACTTTAGAGACTTGTTTTAAGACACGTTGTAACTGGCTCTGTAGTGATTAGTTGGTCTGCCACTCAGGGACCAGTCTTTGTCAGGTAAGGATTTATCAGGTACAAATAAGAACTTTCCAAAGGACCTCGCTTTAAAGGATGTGAAGCAGTGTTGGGAAATCAACTGTTCAAAGTTCAGTTTACACTAGGGATGAGCCGGATACTCATTT